TTTTAAATAAATAAGTTCCTCAATGGAAACATTCCTCCCACAGAGCACAGAGAACCACTGGGTGTTTCAGAAGGGTGAGAAAAAGAAAGGCAGCAGCTTCTAAAAAAGTATTTTAAAGTATGTATGTTGCATTAAGAGTAAAACCACAAGTCTATCAGCCATTTTCTTATTTAAAGGACAAACATTCCCCCACCCCAATTTGCATAAAAAACTCTCCTGAAGGACCCATTACCAACTATCAGGAGACAGAAAGTCATTTCTGCCAGCAGCCACTTTTCAGCTGACTTATTGGGAGGGAGGAGTGGCAGGGATTTTACCTCATCATTATCCTCATCAATGTACTTGATCTGAATGTTGTCCAGGTCAAATGAAACTTTAACCTATAATAAAAAAATAGAACACAAAACCACAGTGAGGCAGGACCTCAGTTAACACTGATTATTAATTGGGAATAACATTAAAACCCTTCCATCCCTCCCTTCAGTTCCTCAGAAGCAAACTCTGTTTTACCAAATCCATTCCTCTGGAGCTGAACTCTTCCCAGTGCCTTCCCTCCAAGCTTTACTGACTTTCCCTAATGAAAATAATAAACACATCTTTTTCCTCTTGCACCTTGCCAGGTTAATGTTTACTCCAAAATAAATAATAAAACCCTCCCCATTCTAAGAGGACAAGCTCAGGGTTAACAAACTCAGTCATGGTAAACACTGCAAAACATGAAGACAAAAACAATCCCTAAACTGATTTTAGAAAGCACCTGGGAGACAGCTCCCAAAGGTGATCAGCCTTTTCTCAGCCTATCAAAACTCCCAGAATAAAGCTGAGCAGTTATTTTGCATTTTATATTAGCAAGGCAGAATGAGCAGCACCAAATCAAGCATAAAATGAAAGCTGTTGTTTCCACGTGCTGAGCCTTTGAGGTTCCTGTACATTTCTGTACCAGGTTCCTACAAAAACTGCATTTTTCTGCCTTGGTTTGAACAGACAGGTGTCTGCTGAGGAAGGCAGACACCTGGAATGGAAAATGTAAACCTCCTCCTTCTAAATGATTATAATTTTTAAATTAAGGGGCTCTCAGGCAAAGATTTGAGAATAGGAACAACAGTTTATTTTTGTACCAGGTTCCTACAAAAGCTGCATTTTCCCTACAGAAACTCTCTGAAACAACTGACACTCATCCTGCTAGGGCAGA